CTAGCCAGCCAGAAGGCTGGCGCTCCCCACCCGCAGCTCCCTGTGCGCTGGAAGCCCTCCTTCCGGGAAACCTCGTGTTCTCATTTCTATAGCAGCAGCTCGTGGTGGTGCCATGTCCTTGTCACTCAGACTGCCTTCTGGGGAAGGGGTTAAGCGGAAGTGGCTATTACTCTGTCCACCGAGATGGCCCTGGCTGCGGGAGCGGGGAGGGTGTTCTCTGCCGTTTGTCGTGTGGGGCTCAGCAGAGCTGGCTTGGACCAGGTGTCTTGTTGGAGGTAGGGTATGCGTGGCAGCTGCGTGAGTACAGCTGGGTCTCATCTTGGAGAGGGTAACGATATCATAGACCTATTTCAAAATAGACTGTCCTTGGTACTGACATGAGGGCCTCTGCCTGAAAACTGTGAGATAGCCAGGGTCTCCAGGGTGGAGGACACGTCCCTGACATGGGGTAAGTCAACAGGACAGGGTTGGGATAGGCAGATGTGTAATGAAGAGGTTTAACTCTAGTACAGCCCAGATACAGCTGAGCCAGGTGGATGCCCACCTTTTGGTTCTGAGAGGGGTGAGTGCGGCACAGGCTGGGCTTGTGGGAAGGAAGGAAGCAAAGAAGGAAGAGAGGGAAGGAGGGAGACTGGCCTTCACTGACCGCCAGAAGGGTAGGTCCTGCATGCTGTCACATGTACCCATGCTGGGTGCTTTCATTTCCAGGGATCCCTGAAAAGCTTGTTTTTCTTTGAAAGGTCTCTGAAAGATGGTGAAGACTTGCCTGCTGGGGCCGGTAAGCAGTTGCAGCTCAGGTCCCCATGGCCAGTGCAAGTCTGTACCCTTTCTGCTCCGTGGTGGGGGTGGGGACGTCTTCGAGGAACACTGGTGCCGACACCTTCCGTCCTGAGGGGTCGGTGCCTTGCATGGGAAGCCTGAGGAGGCGCGATGTGTGGTGGCAGGAGCACAGCCAGGCAGGCCAGAGAGCAGAGGCCTCGGAGGTGAGCGGTACTGCACAGCAGCGGCTGAGGAGCGGGCGCCAGGTGGCTGTGATGCCTGCCAGGCAGATATGTTTTCCCTCCCTTCAGCACCCATGGTGCCAGCCCAGTGTTACAGATAGCGGGCATGGCGGACATGCCCTGCCTCGGTGCGGAGGGAGAGACAGGGCCCTGAGCCAAGCCCTGGAAGAGCAAGCGGCCTCTCCTGATGTTAAAGGGTCATAAAGTTGTGTCAGAGACCCCACAGATTCTGAGACTATAACCAGGAGACCCAAGATCCTGGAACCAGGGACACAAGCCTTGCTGTCGTCATCTACCCTGGGAACAGTTGCTGCTTTTGCCAGAGCCCCAAGTTGCTTAGAGGAAAGGAAGCAGGGGTACTAGACAGTTTTTAGTAGTGTTGTGAGGTATTCAGCTTGCAGGTAATTGCTGACCTTTTACTGTTTCTGAGATGAGAGAGTTGCTCAGCTTGAACCCAAAGGACCACGGCACTTCACCCCTCTACAGACCCAGCACCCCCTGAGCTGTAGTGACACCCCCTTCCACTCCTGCCTCCCCAGGAAATGAATG